TTACCCACACAGAAGCCCCATATAGGAGCGGCGTAGCCAGCTTAGCATTACAGGTTCTACCTGCAGCTGGTATGTAGCTTCTCATTTGAATATAAAAAACACAGAAGCAGAAATAAAATGTATTGTTGAAGGCTTTCACGGCCGGCATACAATGGCTGGTGTGGGTCTGCCGGGCTCGGTCGCCGTGGTCTTGAAGTTGTGTTTCCTAACGTTTCGCCAGCACCCGTGACCGGCATCTTCAGAGAGCAGGAGCACAGACAGGAGCAGTTCTTCTGTTTGGATAACGTTAGGAAACACAACTTCAAGACCACGGCCACACAGCCCGGAAGACCCACACCAGCCATTGTATGCCGGCCGTGAAAGCCTTCGACAATACATTTTATTTCTGCTTCTGTGTTTTTTATATTCAAATGAGAAGCTACATTCCAGCTGCAGCTAGAACCTGTAATGCTAAGCTGGCTACGCCGCTCCTATATGGGGCTTCTGTGTGGGTAAATATAGTATCTCAAGGGCTCTGTAATATTCAGGCCCACTTTTGGAGAGCCCTCTTAACATTACCCAGCTGTGTACAAAATGCCGTAGTCGTTTTAGAGACAGGGCAAAGCCCATTGGAAGCCAGAGCATGGTGTGCTGCAACTAAACTAGTGCAAAATGTATGTGTTCTATTCCACTTCAGGATTACTTTCTTACCTTGTTGATGACCCATTTATTAGTTCCTAGTTTAAAATTACATTCCATAAAATTAGCCAAATTGGCCTCTCTCCAGATCACCTGTTTTTAATGGGGCATACTTCAGCTTTTTGTTAATTAGGCAAAGGCTCTGGGATATAAGCTCACAGGACTTGATTAGTAAAGCTAACTCACCCTGTTTTCCAGTTCATTTAGGCATCTGTTACCAAAACAATTGCTGTATGGCCTCATATTTAACCCATGTAAATCATAGTTTTTAATCAGGTCGCTTTTGCAAAGGCACAATTAAATGCCTTTCCATCACAGATCTGGATTGTAATAAGACAGAAATAGAGTCAGTGGAGCACATACTGTATGTTTGTGAATTGTATATTGTACTGATCTGAGACAAACCTTTATTTCTCCTTTATTATTTTTCAACCAAGCTTTTTAAACCATGTATATGCACATTTTCTCTTATCTGAATTTAGGCCTAATGTGACTCCGGCGGTAACCAAATTTTTGGCTGTCATGATTAGATGCATGAAAGAGCTATTTTCTGAATGATTTGTTTCCCACGAAATGTCAAAATGTATGTTACTTTCTTTTTTATTATGTTTGCTCTTGGGTCCTTTGACTGTAATAAACTTTTCATTCATATTGACCTTTTTCTTCTTACCTGCTTTCAATTTAGTTATTCCAATGCATGAGTGCATATCCCCCCTTTATTTAGAAAAGCAAAATAATTTAATGTTGTGCATCAAATGGGGGACAAAATACATATTGAGCTCATGAAGCATAATATCTTGATAGAAGGTTCAGAGGATTTTACATTATTTTAAAATTTCAGGAGAAATTTTCAAGTATCCATAGCAAGGATGGGAAATCCAGGTTTACAACACACACATTTAAATGATAGTTGAGTGATGAAACAGGTTTTTATCCAGAAGTGTATACGGATGAAAAAAATGAACAGTTCTGTTTTTCCCACCTCTCAGTATGAAGTCAACCTACAAAAGTCTGATTTGTTTTAACAGGCTCCTTTGAGGTTGCAGGGGAGAGAAAGAGGGTTCAATTCTTGTTCTAGCAGCAATGGTGCAAATTTCCTTGGGGACTGAGAAAGGACTAGTGCTCAATCTCTTCTCCAACAGCTTCTTCCAACCAGTGAAGCTGGTAAGTCATGTCCCTCTTACACATATTTGATCTGAATGCATGTGTGCTAGCTTGAAGTTAGCCAGGCAGACTTTGTGTTCTCTTCTGACTGAGGAAAACTCTTGGGGGTCATAATGTGAGAATTGTATATACATGGAGGAAATTGCATCTTTTAAGATAAAAACATGGAAAGAAAGACTGATTGAATAAACAGTGAAGCAATTAGAATTCAATACTGGGGAATTTTATAATGAAATAACATGGGACTCAATGCATATACAGAATGTATATCTTTTCAGAAAAGCATAGAGGCCCAAACACAACTACATGCTAGAATTAATAATCACATCTTAAAACTATGTTTTTAAGTAGCCCTCTATTGGAGAAAGGATTGAGCACTTGTTCCTTTTTCAACCTTCAAAAAAGACAGAGCAGGCCTGCTGTAACAAGAATATGGCTTTTTCTCTACTCTGCCATTTCAAAGGAAGATATTTTAAAAAAATCATGCTAAGAAGTTTTGCAAGTTGACTTACATGGTTGTTAATTACTATGTAAAAAGTTCCACAACACAATAAAAGTGTATAGCAGCTTTCCTCAATTCTGTTGTCTTCAGGTGAGTTTATACTCCCATAATTATTAGCATAACCAATGCTGGCTAGAGATTTTGGGAGGAGGGCACCAGTTGCAAGAGGGTGAGTGATACTATAATATATACAGTACATTAGATGTCAAGGCGTGTTACAAACCTGTTTTACAAAAAACACAAGAATTCTTACCGTCTAAACTTCTGGTGTCATTTTTGAAAACGGTTTGCCTTGTCCTATGCAAAACCTTGAAAATTTTCAAGACCTGTAAGTGCAACAGAATGTTAAAACTTTTACATTCTCATGTTAGAGAGGAAGCACCATTTGCTCAGTTAAATTTGAAGTAAGAATATCAGGGAATCAAAATATAGAAAATTTCCAAGAAAAAGCATTTGGTCAAAGGAGAATGAAATGAAAAAGATTCCTAGAAGCAGCAGCTAAATGCTGATACGATAACAAGCAACCCACATTCCTCACTCTAACTTGGATCCTGGTATGTGGTGACATTAGTGAAACTTAGAGCAGAAAAGACCATAATATGACGGGTACTATATTGGAGTCATAAATTCCTTGTCTGATTCTTAGATAGGCAAGCCTCCAGAAAGTGACAGAAAAGTTGTTAAAGAAGACATTTCAGATATTCCAGAAATAGTCTGACACAATAATAGTTTAAAATTTAAAAATTTTAGTTTTTAGTTTAAAAATGTCAGATTGGCCGTGACCTTACTGGTCTTCTGGAAGGACCTGAAGACTTGACTTTGCCATTTTGCCTGGGGATCCAGTAGTGGTGGTATGGAGCCTGCTAGATGGTTACATTGTTAGTACGATGGACTGCACTCTCACAGATTATGTTTTTTTAAAAATATTTTTTCACAGTTTTTATTGTTTAATATGTTTTTAAATGTTTTTGTTGTTATGATTTTGATTATTTTTTTGTAATGTTTTTGTGTTTCTAACTTTGCGAGCTGCCATGTATGTGAGTTGGGCAACATACAAATAAATAAATAAAATATGAGAGAGAAGATGATGTTATCTCAGGACATCTGGTCATAAATATCTGTTAAATGTGAGATATGAACAATTAAGCAAGTATTAGATTAGGAAGAGAGCCAGTGTGGTAGAGTGGCTAAGGTATTACAGTAAATGAGATCCAGGGAGACCTGGGTTCAGGTCTACCCTTGGGTACAAAGCCAGGTGGATGACCTTGGGCCAGTCACTCTGTCTTAGCCCAAGGAAGCAGGCAATGGCAACCACTTCCAAAATCTTGCCAAGGAAACTGCAGGGACTTGTCCAGGCAGTTGCCAGGAGTCTACACTGACTCAAAGGCGTGTGCACACACACACCATTTAAAGAGTAAAAAACAGATTAAGAGAGAATGGCTTATCCAAGACTGTGAGAAATTCAGGGCTCATACATTACGTTGAACTGTAAAATGGTGTATTAAGTTCTGGCTTAGTGTGTTGTGTGAACCCAGATATAGAGTTGTATACAATAGGGCTCCACAGCATTTTGGATGATGGGAAATTGTAGTCTAGTACATCCAGAGTAAATCAAAAGAAAGCAAAAAGTTGTTCTAAAGGAAAAACCAGCTTACTGTCACTCAAACATCACTTAGCACAATCACTGGCCTTGTCACAACTGCACTTTCATGACCCAGGTTATACAGCAGGCCATAAATTCAGGGAAGTTTTCAGGGATCCATATACTGTAAGCATATTTTGAAAATCAATCAATCAACCATAATAACAATATAGTCAGGCAGTGGAGTAAGAATAGCCAGAAAAAGTGGAATAAAAATGTATCTGGTGTCCCATAGTGTTCATTCATAGGTGGCATATTTTGCATGCATTCCAACTATAAGACGGTCTCATATCCCTCAAACGATGTTCTCAGGCCAACAGCAAAACACGACACCAACACCCCCCTTCCCCCCCTCAAACACTATCTTGCCTGCGCAGCCGCACCAGGCCATCAACTAACCTCTGCCCTTCGCATTGCCGAGGCTGCTGCTCTTGGACGAAGCCCTATAACAGACGTTTCCGGGAAGGACAGAGCCACGCCCACCAGTGCACGTTATTGGTTCCGTGTGAGCCAATAGAGAATATCGCCACCACGTCAGCGACAAATCAGTGAGTACCTTCCTGTCCCGCATCCTAAAATGGGAAGAGATAAAAGATGACGCGAGAGCTATACCGATAGAGTAGCGCCGTTACCTGCAATGTGAGAGGGTTAAAATGGGAATAAATCTGCGGGAAGGGAATAGAGCGTGAAGCATCAGCGTTCCGCTAAGCTAGTGTTTCTCAACCTCAGCAGCTCTAAGATGTGTGGACTTCAACTCCCAAAATTCCCCAGCCAACTGCACTAGGCACAAAAATGGTGTTAACAGAGAACAATTTGAATGTTTTCCTTTGCTTCAAATTCACATGTGATGGAATAATAGCATTACCTGATGTGGGTGCTGGGGACATAACTTCTGTTGTAAGACTTTAAGGATGCTTTAATTTTGCATATTACACAAAAGAACGACTATTTTATTTAAGGCTTTTTGAAGCTGTTCCTAGGGAAAAATACAGGTTATCAAAGAGGTTTGCATAAACCATTAATTAAAACTACAGTACAAATAGGAAAAAACTAGTAAATGACAGTTATACAAAAAAGAAAAGAAAATCTAATAATGGTGATTATATAAAACAAATGTGACAAAAAAAGAGAAAAAATACTAGTTAAAAAAAATAAAGAAAAAATTCCATATAATATCCATAGGTACCAATATACAATTAATTCAGTCCTTAAGTTTATTGAGACAGTGTTATAACTAGACATGTACAATTGTTCCTTGATTTTTTTCATTACTCCAGAGCATCCTGCCTTAATTTCACATTTAATTTTGGGTAAACATGGATAGTGTTGTCATTAAAACTACTATATGTACTTAACATTTCCCAGAAAATTATCTGATGGAATATTTATCAGGAAAATAATTAAATTAATTAATAATGACATAGTTACTAAATACTTTGAGATCATCATCATACATTTCTTCAGAGGTTGCTTTTATTTTGCTTGTACAGTTTGAACAAAGAGGTATTTTGGAAAATGATTATGGAGAATATGTATTTACAGAAGAAAAACTGAACCATGAAAACAAGCCATGTATATTTTTTGCAGGAAAAAAAATGTCTGATAGCTTTAAGATGATCAAATACATTATGTAATAAACTTACATGGAAATGGTTCAACATAACATACATTATTATAGTTCCAGTATTAAAATATAACTATTTTTGCAATCCACCACCTGGAAGAATTTTGTAAACAGCATCCTCAGGTCTAGAATCCCCAAGTAACAACTTTTCTCAGTAATAGTATTATTCTAGCAAGGCAGAGATGAGGGGACTAACTTCCCCCAGCATTGCAGTCTCTTCTTCTCAACTAATAGAAGGTAAATTTCAGTTACTGGATCCTTGTCCCTGCATGGGATTTGTATAATTTCACATACACCTAGCCATGGCAGGAATATTGCCCAAACTTTTTTTTTCTGCTGTGTCCTCATGATATCTTTGGGTCATCCCAACCCATACCTAAGGCAACCTTAGGTTGTCTATTCAGAATTACAGACTGAGTTACATCTAACACCTATTAGCCATTTCAACTACAGTTGAATCTTCTTTCCTTTCAGTCCTTTGACGCTGTTCTCCTTGGCCATTCTGGTCTGGTTTTCAAACTATGATTATTATTACGTATATACTTGTCCTCCCCTTTTTTGTCGGTTTTGTCAACATCTTTTTGTGACCCTCCAATCTCAAAAATGCAGTTGGATAAATAACGGATATAAATACAGTGCCATTTAGGAAATGTTAAAATGATAAAACTGATTAATAGAGAGGGTGAACAAATGACTGAAAAGAAAAGGCAACAGCTATTTATGAAGCCTATAGTAGCTTATGAAAAACGCTGAACTCATTGAGCGCATAACTTAGCCCCAGCACTCTTTTACTTTGCTGCCGCATCATACGATTGAACCCCTGGAATTGCTACTCCTCGGGAAAGACGCGAAGGCGGGAATAAAATGACGGGCAGGGGGATGGACCAGTAAGAGGGACAGTTCTACCAGCGTATCCCTTTGATAGGGCAGTCTTGTCGTTGGTTTCCCATCCTACGCTCGCTATTGGTGAACTCGATGGGGTGGGCCCGGAGGGTAGAAGGTAGGACGCACGGAGCGCCGGGTGCTTCTCGGGCAGAGATGGCGGATGAGATTCGTAAGGCTCAGGTGGCTCAGCCGGGCGGGGACACCATTTTCGGAAAAATCATCCGCAAAGAGATCCCCGCCAAGATCATCTTCGAGGACGAGAAGGTGGGCAAGCGGGGACGAGCTCGGCGGCTCCTCCTCCGTTCGAGGGGCGAGTCCGCACTTGCATGGCTGCGGCCATAAGCGGCCCAGGTCCATTTGTCTTTTCTAGCCGCATCGCCGGGCTGGATCGTGACTCGCATGATTTCAAGCCACGTTCCGTGGCCTTGTTGGCTCGGAACTGTAATCCCGTGGCAAGGGGGTGGGGTGCCAAGCAAACCGAGTGCCTCGCTCGCTTTCCTGAAGCCTGGCTCATGGAGGTAGACTGCCTTTGCACGTGGAGGCTCCATTTTTCTTGCCTCCTCCCCGCCCCAGAGAAGGAGCGAGAAGGATATGTTACCTGCAGCTAATGGGCCCTCCCCTGCGTCTTACGTTTTCTGTCCTGGAGGTGAAACTTCTTCAAATTCTTTAGAGTAATTCTAGCAAGGCAGAGATTAGGGGACTAACTCCCCCACTACTGCAGTCTCTTCCCAATTAGAAGGTAACTTTCAGCTACTGGGCCCTTGTCCCTGCATGGGGTTTGTATAATTTCACATACAGCTAGCCATGGTGAGATATGATTTAGGTTCTCATGATATTTTCGTTTCATCCCCAACCCATAATGACTGGAAAAGGGAATGCTATGTATTTCCTGTTTGAACTCCAGGAGGAAAGGTGCAATATAAATCTAATAAATAAGCAAATCACTTGACTTTTCTCCAAAGTAATAGGTGATAAAGCCTGACAGATTCTGTACACTTTTGGGATACCCTTGGACTAGGTCAGCCTAAAGAAGAAAACACTGGCATATCTAAGGACAATGTAAGATTGTTTCACTCCTATGCTGAGGACAACATGAAGAAGACATCATGGGGACATGCTAGAAAAAAGATGTTGCTAGAGCATTTTACTGCCATGGTTACATGCAAATGAGGAAGAGCCTATTATGAGCATACCCAAACCTGATTCGTCGCTTCCCTCTAAATCCAGGAATTAAGTAAAAATAAAACCTGGTTTGCAATTATTAATCCTAGCTATGAGGGAAGGGTCCCAGTCTGGAGAGGATTTTCTCCTTAGGGCTTCTGAAGACATTCTGATACTTCTCTCTTTCTCTATGGGTCTATTTTGGCCATAGTCTTGTCTGTACTCACAGTCTGAGTTTATTATTGGAAGGAGTGCTATCATTTTGAGCCAGGTTATTTTTAAGGATCCTAGTAGTGCTATATATTTTTTTTAAAAAGTATTGATTCAATACAATTCAACAAATCCATTAGGATTTCTCACAGTCTTCATGTCCATAACCCCTAATAAAATTTTGCTTGAATTGTTAATTGTATTTTAAAATACTGTTGCGTTATGAAGAGGGCAGCCTAGCACAGAGGAATATTTCATATAAAGTATTCCAGTAAAAACTTGTTTTCCGTTCATAGGCTTACTTAAAATTTATACTCATTTTGTAAAAGCTATTACTAAAGCGGTGCCTTTTTCCATTCAGTGCCTCGCGTTCCATGACATTTCTCCACAAGCTCCAACTCATTTCCTAGTGGTTCCCAAGAAGCCTATTGCTCAGTTATCTCAAGTACAAGATACTGATGAAGATGTAAGTATTGCAAAAGGGCTTTTTATTAAGTAGTGGCCAGCTTTTCAATAAGAAGAAGAGTTACCTCAGAGCAAAGTTTGAGAGATGAAGACCAGGTGAAGTTTTGGCATGTTGGCTAAACCAGCAAAAGCTCAGAATTTTAGTCCAGTGATATAGGGTGATCATAATATGCATGTAACACTAAAGGACATACATTTAAGTTTTCAATAGTTTTGTTCAAGGCTTTATTTTTTTTAAATGTTATGGATTTGATTAAAAAGAAATCAGATTCCCTCCCATGTTTGTCAACAAAAAAAGCTATGAGGGTGAGGTGGAGGGAGGACTATATTATTGATAGCATGAGGAGTGGTAAAATGTCAGGGCCAAATGGTTTTCCTGGAGAATTCTATAATTTGGCCCTATAATTTTGTATTAGACTATAATATTTTATCTACTTCCCTTGAGGAGCTTATACTGTAGTTCTTAAAGTAAGTAAACATCATAAACAAATGATAGAGCTACTTAATGAATACATGTAGGTTTAAAAATAACTGGCATTGCTGCTATATAACTTCAGAATGTATTACTGACCTTTATACCTGCTGATCAAACAGGATTTATTTATTATAGGCAAGAGACCAACAGTTTGTAGTTTTAAATAATGTTAAGGTGGATGCTGCTCTTCTTACATCAGTGGCTGCACAGAAGGCCTTTGATAAATTTTATTAGAATTTTTTTTTTTAATTTCAAAATTTTGTTTTCTTCAGGAATTATTAGAGTTGATTACATATTTTTATTTGTTTCCAAAGTGGGTGAAGACTAATGGGATCTTACCTGATCACTTGGGAAGAAATGTACAGCAGAGTTAACTTCTTTTTCCTTTATTTTTATTTGAAGCTTCAGTGTGTGCAGTTAAGCATAGCAGTGGACCTGCAGATAAAGAGTATAAAATAATCCTTATTTGTTTCCAGAAGCCCTTTTGGAAGCTTACTGATAGCCCCAAATCTTCCATACTAAAATTAATTGTTTTGCAGGTTATTCTAGATACAGTGCATTCAGAAAGTATTCAGACCCCCTTCACTTTTTTCAATTTTGTTATGTTACAGCCTGATACAATTGTTCAAATTCATTTTTTTTG